AAGGTAAAGTGCTGAGTTTGACAGCTGATTCTCCTTCCTTGGAACACGTCGGAAGATCTCTACATACTTGATGGATGAATTCAGCAAGCCGTTGAGCAGTTACGCCTGTGCCCTGTTAACAAGTCAAGTGAGATGATCATAAGTGACCGAGTCATTCCAACACGTTTGAATCTAAATGTCATCTTTTTAAATTTCGAACACAATAATATTGTCTTGTGAGGTTTATCAATACCCAGTCCAGTCCATTGCTCCACGGGATGTCACAGCCGTCTTAAAACAATGAAAAATGTCATAGCCTGTATATTTTTCATGAAGGAAACTACTCACAGGGTTGCTGAAAACTCTTCGACAGCCCACGACCGGTTTCGCCTTCTTGGGGCTCATCAAGTAGGCGCAGTCCCCGAGTTTTCGTCTCGAAAAAAGCCCAATTTCGGTTCAAGTAGAACAGAAGGTTGACGGAAACTCGGGGACTGTGCCTACCTGATGAGCCCCAAGAAAGCGAAACCGGTCGTGGGCTGTCGAAGAGTTTTCAGCAACCCTGTGAGTAGTTTCCTTTATGAAAATGCCATAGCCTCATTCATTCCGATCCAGTGTATTCCATAGATATTCACCTAAACCTTACTTGTAGTCCTGCACCCGAGCCACGCCCGGATGTGTTCGAAAATCGGGCGCGTGATACCATCGTTTGATCATGTGAGTTTTCCAAAAATAGCTTGTGAGTCTATACACAATTTGGTGAAATCTGTACTCCAGAAGCTTTAATATGGTGACCGGAATTCAAGAAATAATTCTTCTAATGGGTTCGTCCGAGTTACTCCGCACAAGATTGGTGCGAACCAAAGTGAACGAATGCGTACCCACTGACCTGGATCGTTTCCATGGCACACCTGACCTTGGCTTACTGTTCCACCGCACTCGCCTTGACTTGGTTCACACACCAATCGGGCGACAAGAGAGACATGGTACTCGTTCGCAATTGGACAGGTCAACACAGCAGGTCTTTTCTGCCTTTGTCTGCGCCTTTCCACCCTCGCTCGTGTCATATTTGCAGCAGGGAACGTACCTCAATGATGTGTTTTCATTCCTCTTCAAGGGCACCACAGTCAGCAGTCAGCAATGACGAGTTGTTACCCAATTCTTTCATCCAATTCATGCTAGTCCCGGTTGACAATAGTTGCGAACAACTTCATAAGTTTTCTTGGTATCAGCAACACGATCAAAACATATGGGTAGCCGATACATAATAAGATTATGTTTAAAAAACCTGACGCCTCAAATTGACTCCACAGTATCATACTACGTGTGTTTGAGTGACTAACTTGTGCATGTGTTCCGCTTACAGGCCACCGGTATTGACGGCATAACAACAAACGCGGCTACTGTCATTCGTATCAGTCTCTAACTTATGGCCACACAGATCCCGAAACAAGAATCGATGAATGCTCCATGTCTGAAAATGAGATTAGTGCACATCAACTAGACTCACACAGAAACCTGGTACCGGTCGCTCGACAGGCGGCACCGACTGAAAGAAACGCCGTGAATTTTGTCAAGCACAATGCTTTTACAGTATTGTGTTGAATTCCAAAACAGCTAACGCAACCAGAAGCTAAATACACAACGTGACATTCGAGGCAAGACAAATTCACTTTTCAACCACAATTTTAGATGGAAGGCTTGTTCGAGTTGCTCACAGTAAGTTTTCATCTCCTGACGACACGGTGATGAAAATACAACCATTCCACAACTCTTGGGCTCCTAAGAACTTGTTTTAGAAAGACCGATCGGTCACGTTTTGGTATGCTTCAGGAGAGTGGAAATATGCGAGGCAAATTGTATACGCTTTTACAGGTTATGGGCAATCGTTTGAACGTTTCTTGGCTTCTTGTTTGCGTCTCTTTGGAGAGTTGAATAAAAGATGATAGGAAACGAAAAATACCGACCACATCACAGGAAATGGTACGCAGGTCTCTTGGTCATACTGTCTGAAGTTTCTTCAGTTTGGCTGAGCTGACGTAGTTTGAATCAATATCGCACAGTAGTGGAACCTCGAACCTTATGCGGAATTCGTTAGATGATAAGTTTCATCCGTCATTCGAAAACCCATCATCAGGATTGTTGACTTCCCGGAGCTTGTCTGCCACTGAATTGGTTGCAAACCGGCGTGCAAGTTCAATTCTTTCAACCAGTCTAACAAAGCAGCCTGTTGTGCATGAGAGCCTCCACAATCAAGTCCTGCTAACTGGAGGATAACCAAAGTCTCTAGTTTAGAGTAAACTACCCACAACAGTCGTTAGTTTATCCAATGAACTCCGAAAACCTTGGGGGACGGGACAGCGTAAAGTGAGTTGTACGTGGTTGCGCGTTCGTTCAGTTCAGCACGCTTATTCTTATGAGTCTACACCAAAGAAGCAGGTACTGGACTCAAGTATAGCTCTTATTCGAATTCGACAACACTGTTGTGAGGTTTTTTACGGATGTCCGGAATTCCAGTCTTGGTACGGTCAATGATAAGCACTACTTTTGAGCACCATTAAGATCGAAACTCGAGTACAATGCTTCTCTCTCGCTCTCTCTGGGGTGGAATCACCAAAATTATTATCTCAATTTTGAAAGGTGGGAGTTCAAAATGAATGTGGAGTAGATGTCAATGTGCTGGTAACTGGGTTGGCCGCTTTAAGGGTTCTCATCACCCTGATTTCAATGGTCAAACTGGACCCGTAAGGCTAGGAATGATAACCAAGTTTGAGCGTTTCTTGTGAGTTCAATATTCGTGGTGGTTGATTACCATCGTCTCCGTTCATTGTTGATCGCAGAAACTTATTCCGGTTATTTTGGTCACAGAACCATCCATAATCACCCGCTTCATCATGGTCTTAGCTTTTACCCAGACTGTCAGCAGAATATTAAAAGCTGCTGTTCATTCACATCTAGGATCTCACATGAATGGATCAAATGCATCATCTCTCCAATATCCACATCACTTTCAGTCCTCGATACACTATTATCATCGAAATTTCTATTGCTACCCTAGTCTGTCTCCGTTTTTCAGAATCCCCACTCATCCACTTCCTCTACTTGAACTAATGCAGCTTTGATTCTACGGTATACAGCCCGCATTAAGAGCTTCTTCCATGTTGTGGCTTAAAAATCGTCGATCGTGCGGTGACTTCAAAGATACACTGAGCAAAAGAACAAGACATCTGTCGTTCACGCTAGCAGAGCCACGACCGCTTGTCACCTAACCTTTATGTGCGGTTGGAGGAACAGGTGAAACCATTCAGCGTGCTTGGTCACCGAGGATGTCAAGGTTCTTTTCCAGATAAGCCCCGCTAGTAGTGCAAAAAGTGCATGCGCGAAAAGTTAAGCGCCGCCACTTTTTGCCAGCTCCAATTTAATGTACACACACAATCTTGACCTATTTTTGATGAAAACGATTCCTTATCCGCATCTAGGCTCATTTTGTGCAAACATTTTCTCCGTTCGGACGTAAAACCTTAAATGAACTTTCTGACGCTTTCAACTCTCTTTAGTGACAAGGAGACGGCAATACGTTTCTTTGCAAAGCCACAGAGTGACCCAGCAGCAACGTTTATGCAACGGTGGCCACCAAATACACTTTCAACTGTTTCTGACAGGTGGGGGTGTAATGTCCGACAGTGTCGGTAAGAAATCGGTCTTCGAAGGGGAACTTGGCTGGAGTGGAGTTTAGGGCAGTAATTCTGTTCATTTATTGCTGGTCCAAAAATTTGGCAAAAATCAAATTCTCCTTGGAGGAATTATCTATTATCCACACGATCGCTGTTGACTGGGAGAATTTTCCTCGCGAAGTTTGCGCCTGGCGGCTTTTGCAGACTCCAGCACTTATCGGCGGCCCAGGTCTACACGTCGAGATCGATGAAACGCTAATATCTTGCCGTAAAAACCACGCTGGGCGAGTCCTTCCTAAGCAGTCGCGGGGGCCAATTTTTGGGCGGGGATTATCTGGAAAAGATCCGAAGTTTCACCTATACACTCATCTGTGTGCCACCGAGGATGTTAACAACATCATATTTAATCCAGTGGTCTCCTATCAACACTGCTGTCATCGGTCTTATGACAAAGCAGTAAGCATGAAGTGCAGTCGACAGCCAAACTATAAAGCGTGCACCTGGATTTGTTACGACATATCGCCTGTTACTGATCGTTTCGAAGTCATGCAGTACGAACGACCATCGAGAACAGCAAACCAGCTGCCCAGTATTTCGTTAATGAAGACTAGGAAAAACTTCGGCGAAGTATACGGGGAATGCCAATAGTTATCTGTTATTGGTCTTAGGGTCTATATAATAAGCTGAGCAATTGGATTGCAATTGACTGCCCAGCTCAGCGAACAAGCTAATCATCATCTTCTCTACCCGAGCTATCAACATCTTTCTCTATAGAAAACGTGGCTCGCTTTTCGTGCTGGACTAAACTAGGCATCCCCTCGCTCGGACAGGCACTTTATACGACTGGTAACAGCAACACAGTGTTCGTTCGAATGACTGAGTTCCATTCTAAAGCTTCATCACCAAATCACTCGATCAAGTCCTATACGGCTGTTAGTTTCAAACTAGCGTCTACCGTCATGAAGGTTACCCTATAATACCCGAAACCTACTGAGACCTTCAAACTCTAATAAACGCCGATCAGACCAAGGTCAAAAGACGACCTTCAAAATATGGCGCAAGGCCGTTGTACTTGCGGGCAGTCGCTTGTTTGCAATAAACCTGTTATGTTCCTTGTCGGCCACTCTTTCTTCGACACCAAGGCATTGGAGTGGGGGTAGCAGTCGGATATAACATTTAATGATAGCCTCCATTCCTAATATCAGCTGCTTTGAGAATCACGCTAAGGAGGCACAGATTTCGCATGCTGCGTAGATCCTGTAGGTGGGGCCGATTTTACTCCCCAGGATTTCTGCGTCAAAAACACCCAGGTGAATCCGCAAATCACGAACCCTTTCTTCGAAGTTTTAGCTCGAAAGGAAGGATTTTATTCACTTGTTGAAAGTTCCTGTTGGGCAAATGATCTACTCAAAAAGCATATGATATACACATCAGGTCACCGATAAAAACGAATATAGTCTCAATCGATATGCAAGTATACGTACAGGAATATGTGTTCACCAGTAGGACAAATGTAAGGAAAATTGACTTATTGAGCCACTGCCTTCAGTTAGTTGCCGCTGTTTTTGCATCCACAGGAATTTGGTACTGACTTGGCAAAGAAGCCAAGAGCTTTTTGGCAGTGGCCTCATCCACTTCAGCCATCTCATCATCTTCAACCATGTCCACTTGTTCGTTTAGTTCCATCAAGTTCGCGGTAGACCGGAGTTTTCCCGAAAGGTAATCGATCATATTGGGATGTGGTAAATGCCCGCTTGAATGTGTTTTAACAACCCAGTTGTCAACGTAGGGCTTGTCACCTCTCGGATCGTGACTGCCGTCTGTGTCTGGTCTGTGTAACCAAAACGGTCGGTACCGGGATAACTTTGGTTCGGCTCGGTTGAGGTTGTACTCTTCCGTTAGCCATTGGACAATGGACTTGGGGAAGTGTTGTTCAAGCGTCGGTTGCAGCTGTGACTTGCTGTTCACAATACAGACCTTATTCGCTGTCTGGATAGGTAGGAATGGTTTAATGGCCTGCCACGCTACCTTGAACATTGGACCGGGCCGGATGCAGATGGCCAATCCCAGGCGCTCTGGATAGTGGTTGGACAACACTTGTGCACACTCGTAGCCGAGACGAGGGGAACAATTGATAGCACTCATTCCTTTGAAAAGACAGGTGACAAAAGTGGGAGAGAAAGGTGAGAGTTTTGCAAATGTAGTGTAGGTTACGTTTAAAAGTCGGTGCTGTTAAGATGAAACCAACGGACAAGGTTTATGCAATAGAAAGAAATAGAGCACAAGGTTGATGGAAACTCGGGGACTGCGCCAACCTGATGAGCCCCAAGAAGGGCGAAACCGATCGTGGGCTGTCGGGGAATTTTCAGCAACCATATGAGTAGTGCATTACAAAAAGAAAGAAGGGTATTTTACAGGCGTTTCTACATCAGCCACCGCCCTATTCATTAGGGTCAGTCACTTCCACAGGGAAGTTCAACGCAGTTAACAATGTTCTTGTTAATTGATCAGACTATGCATTTTAGGTGTCGTTTTTCCCCCACATGATAAAGGATCACCAAGTTGTAAACAGAGAATCGAACAAACAATCACAGTCTGCATCCACTGGTTTTTTCGTTCTTGCGATCGGAAAAGATAGGGAGAGCTAACAACAGTGCATAACACGTTTGTCGGGGCACTTCTTACGGTATAGAAACAGGGTCAGATTCACCCGCGTACGGATGCTCACGTGACCACTCGATCATGCACTCTTCCAGTTAAGTCGGGCGATGCTGCATCTGAACGTTATATTCGATCTACAGGTTTCGGACAATCCTAGGCTACAAACCGAAGGACAGCTAATCATATACCTTAGAGATGAGAAACTCCCAGCCAGTCAGAGTGCATCTGTGGTCATTTTCGACCACACACATGTTCTGCTATGCATGGAATTGCGGAGCATGCAATCTTATCGCCTTGCTATGCTTGCAGTGTTCTGATTCTTTTGGTTACGCGCAGGATATTATAGCTCTTTCGATAAATGTGACCCTCACTTTACCTGTTATGAAAATGAGGTCACACGCACACTGACGACACTACTTCATAATTATCAAATATTACAAACGATAGAGAACTCCTATCAATCAGGTCTCGGACATTTTGAGTTATTTTTATGAAGCTCGTGAGCGGAAGCATTTAAGCCAGAAATGTTGCCGGCCATTTCACTCATTTTCACGTAAGAAGAAATTCAGAAGTACGTGTAGCTGATGGAGAACTTAATCGGATAGCACCAGCCTGGTAATTGATCCCACTGAGGACGAAAAATTTGTACAGCATTGACAGACTTCACTTACAGGGACCTAGAAATGTTGCCGGCCATTTCACTCATTTTCACTTAAGAAGAAATTCAGAAGTGCGTGTAGATGATGGAGAAGAACGTTAAATGCGCTAATTCACAAACCAAGAACTTTATCGGAAAGCACCAGCCTGGTAATTGCTCCCACTGAGGACGACAGACTTCACTTACAGGCCAAAATCTCAAGGGACCTAGCGAAATCCCTTCATGCTTTCTACAAACTACGTTTATATTATTTGAATTTCAAACTTCACCATCATCAGTCTCGTGCGGTACTTAAGACTTTTTCAAATTAGGCGTCAATGTGTGTTGCAGTGAGAACTGACTACTGATAATTATCTCTTTCGCACATTCTTACATTCTGTGGACCGAAAAGGACAAGAATGTCCAAATATAAATTATTCTAATGTTTGTGGGATGAAATTTTGTGTAGGTGTCATGGACATTGTTGAATGAAAACTTTCGACCCTGCTTGAATGGTTTCGAATATATCTATAGTGTTCGTGGTAAAAAAAATGATCATATGATCACCCAAGTGGTAACCGATCCATATCTGTCAACGATCCGTGTGTATTAATCTCCATCGTCAGTATGCACAACAAGTCAGTTCGCATTCATCCACTCACGTGAAGCCGGTAGTTCAGCGATCATCCCACATCCATATGGTACCCTATATCGCATGTCCTGCCGCATGCCACGTGACCGAAGCCGGCTGGCGCTACAGCATGTTCGCCAACCTTGTTTACGTCTGCCCAAGCAGCGGTCGTCATGATTCAGCCGACCAGCTGATGGCACGAACACCAGGGCGGGCAGACGCACACACATGGAAGCACGCTGGCCGCACACGCACACCGAATGAATACCATAAAAGTGCAGCTGTGTCCGAACTGAAGCGAATTCAATCGGATCGTCGATGCTTTCAACCAAGTTTTCTCTGGTTGTTGTATACTACTTTCTGAGCGTGTTCCATCCAGGCTCAACCTTATGGAGTACATCGAAGGGGGCCAGTTCATTGCCAAAAGAATGTCATCGACTAAAAACCAGCATAAACTTTGGAGACGGTATGCTGATGTTAGGAGGGAACAACGGAACAGAGCAAGATAATGGTTTTGAATTACGAGTGCGTCGAGCTTCAGACGGTGTGATGGTGAGTGGATGGTACGAGTCGGGACGTGAGTATGCAGTCACGCTGATCAATCGTTATCCATCGGTCGGGTTTCGGGATGCCGTTATCTGGTTGGATTTTGACGACGGCGATAAATTTATGAAGCCAATGAATGGAAACGGAGAAAAACGAAGGGCGAAGCGTTCGCTGGTGAGTCCTTAAGATTAAAATTTCAGAAAAACAGAGTGTTTTCTATAGTCTCCAATCATTCAAACGAGAATTGGTACTTTTGTTGCGATCTAATCTTATTTCATTATTCGACATGTACACATGTGCAAATGATCTAACGATAAAAGTTTCCGGGTCACTAGGAACCGATTCAGAGCCCATCGAATCCATTGCTCCGCAACTGTCTTATTTGAGCTGAGGGATGAAGGCTTCATCGTCAATACGAAATTAGATTTCTCCCAATCTAGTCTCCCCAATTGCCGGTGCCATCCAGCATCCAATTCCTCACATCACTCTAACAAAATAAAACAAGATACAACTTCACATTTTCGGTTCGTACATTGTTTACCGATTGCGATCCTCGGCATTTTTATATAAACAGGTCTTGTTCGCTACACCGCACCTCACATAAACACCTCGCTAAATTGGTTCATCTCTCGTACATCGATTGTGATCCGTTTAAATTTCCACCGAACCTCAACCGCCAGGATGTGTAGAGTTCCTTTTTGTTTTTTTCCAAACTTTGGCGTAGTTGTGCCACAACCTTTTTCCGTTTATTGTATATTGTGTTTTTGCCTCTTTATTCACAAGCATTCATCTCTACCCACACATCCAGAATGCATTCTTAGTTTGATTACCATTGACATTTGAAAGCCCTTATCAATCGATCATAGGTCAGTGATGCTTGATCGATTATTGCCTGGTGTACGGGCGCTGGGCTGCGAATCGCACACTGGGAAACTGTCCGCCCAAACCGGTTTTTAGAGTGGTCGATTCGTGCGGATCAGACCACCGGGAACAAATATGCACGTAAATCGTAGTACCATACGTACTGGAGGTTAAAAATCGACCACTTATTGCGACAATCTGATGATGCTAATTTCATTGTCGTTCTTTGCTAGACGTTACACTTTGGTTGAGTTCGACTGGTACACTGATTCATATCTGTTGGGAAAGTTAGTCTGTAAGAGACTGGCTGAATGGATCAAAAGCAAGTCAACTTAGGTGATTAGAAAAGTGTGTCACTGTGAGTTGCAACGATGAATTCAATCGGGGAGGGGAACCGCTTCAGTACGAAAGTCCTTAAGTTGAAATATCCGGCTAAAGGTAAATTCTTCCATCTGACTGCTCACAAGTTTCAGTCAAACCAAACACTAGACATTTCAACTGAATTGATCATCACAGAGGTATCAGTAACAGCAGTCAGAGTGATAGAAAATTCAAGGACGGCGAGAAAGATATGATGGAAATTTCAGGTTTTGTCAACTGACCTCCAGGACGGCTTACTCTTTGGTTATCAGTCAGGGGGTCGCGGCTTCAAATCTCTCCGTCAAAACTGCTGACGATTAATCCGAACAAGAATTAAACAGCTATTCAGTGTTTCGCGGATTTCAAGTAGCTCAAAATATGAGATTATTCACAAACTGAGTGTACATTTCACTTTACAAGTCACCATTCGAGCAGACAGTCAATATGTAGCCACGTGGTGTGAATAGCTTTACCGAAGGGTGGCTTCTATTCCTTAGTTCTGGGTTCAGATCCACGCAAAAGCAAATAAGTGGCCAGAAAAAGTCTCCCCAATGCTTTGGATCTACTACTGTGGAAGCAATAGTACTGTTTTGTTAGATAAAAAGCGTGTAATGACCATCTTCCAGTGGCAAATCCATGGGAGCGGAGCACATCCTGTAGCGTGCTGATTTTCACGTTCAGTTTAAAGAGTCTTAAACAGCGTATAGCAACATGCGGAATCAGAGATAGTCATAAAATCACAGAACAGTTGCGGAGCAGCTGCCAGAAGCGCCTGTGTATCAACAATCACGAAAAACGACCCACAGAAGAATGTCAGTGACAAAGACTCAAGTTAATCCGAGAGAGAAGCCTTATACTACTTAACTTCAAAGGGAAGACATTAGGAGAACCAGCTCAGAACGTAACGGGACGACATAACTGTCAATGGAATAACCGTTTTTCGTTGAGACAGATTTCATTGGTTGTTCCTCACTCGGCCTTGACAGAGGAGTTGTATTCTTAGCATCACTTTTGACCGCTTGTACGCGACATTGATCAATGGAGCAGCTGGCTCATTGACTGTTTTCGTTTAACCAAGCGCACCAGGCGATCAAGCGGCTATCCAGACCGGGGTTCATGGCAATAAGAAGGCATTAAGAGACTGAGGTCCACAACAATTTTATTCTTCGACGCTGAACAGGAACGGTGAGACTCCAGAGAGGTATCATTTCGCGCACCAATTTCACAGGCTGATGTGATGCTGATAGAGCGATAATCACGCAAACTGTCACTGTTGAGTCAAGTCCGCTTAACCTGTTTATCGAATGAGCTTTTAACGGACAGACGAATAGAAACATGGATAAACAAACATGGTCGCCCCAAGGATTCGCAGAAGGGAACTTTCCAGAAGCACAGTTTTTGAGCCACTGTGTTTCCTGTCTTTCACAATCCCCGCTCGAAGAGAAGAAACCCAACAAAGGAAAATGAGAAAATTTCTGGTTCCAGTCATGTGCTGTCCGGTTGGAAATACTGCAATGAATATTCCCAGTGTGGTTGACCACACATGATCTTAGCTCAGAGAGCCAAAGCAAGATGGGCTATCCAGTAGAGCGCGAATTTACTGACCGGAGGGTCCGTGGTTCGAACCCCACATCTGCCTCTCGACTTCCCCTGTCTAGGCTTGGGCGACTTGGCAGTATCCCAGCCCTCGTGCTTCCTTCGGGTGGCATGGCAGCTAGGCACCGAAAAGGTTCTACAGCTGAACGATTATCTTATTATTTTTTATCTTTAGTATAGTTGACTTGATTTTATCAGTTTATGTCATCAGCGCAGCTGACAGGCCGATCGGCCACGTTTTTATTGATCCTGGCCTTGCTTTGGCTAATAATTTCACTTTGGGCAGACTCATTGCGCAAAAGTCCACAAATGAAATACTGATTGAAGGGAAGTCATTTGGAAGATGAAATGAGAGACAGCACGGTAAGTTCATCTTTGTTGGTACCGTGGGGAGATCAGGGAGCTTCCAATGAAGGTTTTGTCCTGCAAAGGAAATCAGTCTACGCTGAAAAGCCGGGGAGGGTTGTGTAGCTGTTTCATCATCAGCATCGGGGAATATCTACCTCCAGGAGGATACACGACCTCGGGGCTCTTCAGCATAGATTGGCTTCACTTTCAGGATGAAATCTCTATTGAAGCCAATATTTGTCAAGTTTCCGATAGTCACGATATAACTAAACGTCTTCGTGATAACTTGTTCTGTCTTATTTAAGCGTAGGTGGAAGAAAAACACAAGTTCCTAATGGTCGGACGAGCGAGCTCAGTGGATGAATAAACTTCACCCGATGAGTGAAATTCTTATTTGAGAAGTCGTTGCTCGAAGAGCCAGTTAACACGTGTGACCGCATGATATGGATCTGTGATTGAAGGATGAGCGGTGCTGTATCCAGTCTAAGTCCGAGTTAATCACAGCACTGACCAGCCACTCGTGGTCGAACGGTTAAGGGTTCAAACTACTGGCCGGGAGGTCGCGGGTTCGAGACTCTCCGGATGAAACAGCTGTACAATACTTCTCGACATTTCGGAATAGAAAACGAGCGCTGACTGCCATCGTAAAGGTTAAACTGCGTTGCACAAATCTGCGTGAGTTGTGGATGCATAAATCTCATGAATTTCTGAAGCACTGTTCTCAGACGTAACGAATAATCTTATCCTGCTCTTATGAAATCTGCTGGCGGACGTTCGTCCGATGACGATTACCTTATTCCAAGTATGCTGCACAGTTCATATCGTCGCCCGTCTAAAAGGGACCCCTGTCTTCCACACTGGAGAGTCGTTTTAGAATCCCTCAAAATTGTCTCCAGTTTTTTTTTTGGAAGTTCAGAAGTGGTTTCTAGGTCTGGAGACAGGCACTCAGCTGTGTTGCCTTGTCGGTACATAGCTGCCACGATATTTGAAGAAGATGCGAGGGTGAACTACTACCAGCTTGCTCGGTCCTAGATAGCGCAACCAAAAGATAAAGGTTAGCTTAAACCACCAGCTCAAGTCTTGACCCCCGAACTATCTCAAGTTCATCACAAGCTGTAACATAGTAAAGGATGCCTCTCAGAACGAGAGTTTTATCCCGTTTTTTATGCGGGTTTATTTGTGTCATAACCATTGAGATCGCCCTCAAATAAAAAGACAAATCTACGTCTGTTATAGTAATACAGCACACGCATAAGCACTGCTTTTGGGGTAACACATTTACGACTAGTCGGCTTGTTGGACAAATAGTTATTGGTTATTTCTGAAAACGTGAGTGTTTCTCTTCGCTGTTAGATCATCCTTCACTCGAGCTTCTCTGTATAAAGTGACTGCTGATGACTGTTGAACGCGGAGGCAATCTATGCCCAGTGAGCGCCGTAGATATTATAATTTGGCCTTTTTTCTCCTATAATTTTTAAAGACTCCAGACTTTCTAAGACTTCCAAGGTGAATGCAGTCGTCATGTGAACTGATGCCATGAAATCTGTAAGAAGAATTTGTCTATTTGAACTTCTAAGCTTCCGGGACCAGGGAGGGTTGGCAGAGTTTACTGAACAAAGAAGCATATTTGACTAGACAGTACGAGAGGTCATGGAGATAAGGAGTGAATTTTCCCCCGTTTGACCACCATCTGAAGGGGCCAAATTTTATCATATGTGCAACCCAGGAACCAATGGTGCACTCCTTTGATCGATCAATAATTTGTTTCATTGATCCGATTGTTCGATCAGTCCACTGACCTTAACTGGACTATCTGTCATGATGATAAACAACAGCTAGTAGCTTGCATGAGCCACACCCTGTTGACGTGCGACAAGTTGTGAAAGTTCTCTCTGGACAAAATGTAGACGGTGTAGAAATGGAAAATGTAATGTTGGACAGACAGGTGTTTAATCGATTTCCTTTTCTTTAGAATGTTTCCGTTTTTTACGGGGAACTACATGGGGAACAACCTGGTTTGATAGTAAAAACTACCCCTATAGATCGGTTTGTTTAACCTCACAGCAACGTAGATCTCCCCAGGCTTTTTTGTTCACAACCAAGTATGGAAGACTATGGTGCATAGAGCTTATCCGCACCTGTAGCTGATATTCGCTTGCATGCGCACGGTATGCTATTTTGGGGCGTACATTTTCCCAAGGTTAATTTCTTGCGCTTCTACATGGAAAACTTGTTACGAAATTAGCCTTATGACCGAAGCAACTGCTTCCAGACGTAAATTCACAAAAAACGGGAAGACTTATCAGTCGGCTCTTGAGGTGTATGGGTGGATACTACTTTTTCCGTCATAATGCGTCACCAGTTACAAGAGTTGTGGAACATATGAGCTGAATAACGAATGATCGGAACGGCAAACACGCTGCAGAGCTTAAAACTCACTGAGTGCAAGCTACACTATGGGCGCTGTTCATCATCCGGTGGCTCACGATTTGAGGACCGCGACCAGCATGCGAGAGGCGTTCATCGGGTGAGTACTGGCTTCAAGACTTACGTGGACACGATCTTTGATTGGACCGAACGATGGGTGATGAATAGTCGGGTGCAGAGGCCACTTTGGTCCGCTAATAAAGACAGTTGTCTAAGGTGAATGAGAACACCTCACGTACACACACTCTCAAATGCTGATCTATTGGAGATCCCGAAAATTCGCTGTGGTTACCACATGCTACGGGTAGTAGTCTGTGACCATAACTGTTTTTCTGATTGAGGCTATTGTCTTTTCCCCCCTTCCTAACTCAATACCTATCAACATTTAAATATCACAATTGCCAATAGCCCTACCTTCTACAGAGGGCTTGAGTAGATCTTTTAACTGACGCTAAAAAACTGGATATCTGTAAAAACGCTTGAAAAGTTACAGAAACGGCCACTGAGTAACAGTTTACTATTCATCTGTGAAACAAGTGATTCTAAGTCCGGCGGACAAACCAGCTGAGATTTGGTCTTCAGGAAGTGAGTTTGGACGGTGTTCGAATGGTAACATATGTAGACCATGAAAGGGGCGTTAACGATACCAAATGAATTTCAAATGTCCCAATATTTGAACTGTAAAAATTTCCAATAATACACTCCTCGTATGTTGACAGTTCTGCTCTCGGTCAGCTGAAATGGCTGAGAGAAAATCTGACAGAATCTGCACTTCTCCACTATATTCGTTTTCAATTTTCGATGAGTGACCACTGCAACTGTTGACCATAATGTCACACATACTAGCGTGAGGGCTAGATACACATTTTCTCCTCTGGAGTAACTTTTCGAATGAGGCTCGATCGGACAAGATCGCTTTTAGCTACTTTTTTTGATTGTACTCCCCTTCCACGATAAGGTCATTCACGGGTCTATCCCCTGAGATAGTCTGCCGTGGATGAAGTTCTCAAGAGTACAATCTCATATAATCCATCTGTCACTTATTTAGCATCTGTTATACCCAAACAAAGGATTTCTCTGTTCTAACATGAGCAAATTTTAACTGATCAGAAACCGTTGTTGAAATGGTAATTTGTTATGGGGGAATCCTTTTTGACTGGGGTCCATACACTTCAAATGCTTGATTGCGATGGTTGAAATGTGCTTTCTCCAACGCAAGCAGTTTCTACGCACAGGTTCCGACGATTGAACAGCCACAACGAACTACCCAGATGGTGCCTGTAAAGTCGTCGTGTGCCAAGTATTATGCGGCCTTAAATTCACATATTTCCCATAAAAATTAAACCACAAAAGTCAAAACCAAGTCAAAATCTAATTCTTGTTCTTGCGGAAACAGTCACCGAGTCACAAAAATCGTATGGTTCTATAAGAAGACCGACGGCGTTATAGACTTGAGGTATGCAATTGATTATTGCCAAATTTAAACTGGACACAATGGTATTGATCGTGGCAGATCTTAATGGGATGCTTCTGTTAGAATGGTGGGTCCATCTTGTCACACATTTGGATCTGCCGATGGGATTCGCAGTTCCGGTTACTCAGCTAGTCACGGTGAAATGACGGATCAATTAAGTTTCCCAACTGAGTAACCGGGGATTTCACCGTGATGATCAACTGCATAAACTCCGTAGTCTTGTTGTATACATGTAAGTCATCCGAGACTGAGACTCGCTAGTGGTCGAGTCAAAAGCAAAATAGTAATGTTGATCGTCTGAATGACGAACCTACTGCAGAGAATTCGGAATAATGTTATTCTGTAAGATATGGACGAGTTCTAGGTCGTAAGTAGCTCTGTTTCCTTAAACAACCAACAACAAGCGCATAATTCGATCGGGAATCTGTGTTTGTTTTTATGGCGGATTCAATATGGCGCACGCTGGATACACCCTTAGGTCAGTGGGAACACCTCTCTTATCGAAACAGCAATCAACGAAGGCAGGCAATCTCACCTGGGAATCGTGAAGGTCAGAGTTGCTGGTGCTCCTCCATTTTTCTGACAGGAACTGAAAGGCTGAGCTTTACTGAGTACCTTTTTTGGCGAGTGGTGATAAGCCAACCTTCTAACTATCTCAACTATCCAGAAAGAATAGACCTACCGGAATATCCCTGTGGTTGTCTTTCAACTAGAGGTGTTCTTTTACATCGTGTATTCTAGCTCACGAACTGGCACTAATAACCCAATTGTTCAGTTGTGTCTACCATGCACTGCTGTGAAGGGTTCAAAGCACGGTCAAAGTTGGGCTCCAGCGAATTCACCTGGCTTCTTGTTCATTACCCAGGATAATCGTATCAGAATAGGAAGAGGACACATTGAGGAACTTTGCTATTTAGTTGTAACTGACGCCTTGATATCTATTTATTGTGAACTTTGTGATCCTGTTCTTCCACACGAAACCAAACCACAGGCTGTCAGTTTATGTCAATCTCTCCCGTTTGTTTTCACCAGGATACACAGCAGACTAACTCCTGCATTCGTGATCCAAGTCGCCTTGGAACGTGGATACACAAACCAGGCAGTGATTCATCCACGCAGCCCCGTGCTGGTTGTCACGGTTTGACAGCGGAACGACACAATAGTGCACGTTCTCTGGTCACGAAGTTGGTGCTGAACTGGCGGGCACCGGATGACTACCAGTCCCCGCCTAGATGCAAGCGTACTCTTCCACTCGGGTGTGTCTTGATGCAAGCGGCTGTTCAGGCTCGTGGTGGACATGAGAGTGTCTACGCCGTGTCAGGTAGGCAGTGTGCTATCTCCATTGCATTTGTGGAAAAAAGGAAGTATGCCAAGCTCGACTCCGGTTTTGGGACAAAAGTTTATAAAGTTTCTGTGACGGCACAAATCTGGTGCGGTAGATGACGATCATAGAAAAACGAACGACCTGATAGGAAGCACGTTTGGGAGTTTATTAGAAGGTATGATCCGTTCTACGGGACATAATCGAGCGAAGGTTAAAACCACTGGCCTTCAAATGGAGTGTTACTGCTCCCTTGAAGGGATCAAAGTTCCACCGGGAGCTTCTGGAAACCGTAAAGCATCAAGCCACGTCAAACGAAAAAGTTTTAGGTGTTTAGTGTAACAAAACAGGATTTACTGACTAAAAGTTTTCCATCTGTTTGACTGCTCGAGGTTGTACGGGCACTCATATGTCTTTACCAAACGATTGAACCAATAGGACAGCTTAGATGCGCACGGCAGATTAATACACTCGTGACAAGGCGAGGCTTAATCAGGACGTCAACATTCCCTTTTGTTAAATTGCCTCTGCTTAACTTTGCAGATGTATCCTTATACGCCCAAACTGGAGGGGTCCAAAGAGCTCATGATTCAGGTTCATAGCTCTTGACTAAAAGTCCCTAATACACGCTCGATGACCCGGTGGGACCTTTCCGAGCTCAAGTGATCTAGGAGAAGCTCTTGCTTAGCGACTACGCACCGGAAAGTTTCCACAACTGGGCAGTTTCCAAGGTAGACCGGGAGAAAGCTACCTTTCGGCCATACAAACCAAAAGAAGACAGCGTGTACGCGGTGAATTCCAGGTCAACTTCCGCAAAACCTTCGGATTTGTTACCATTTGAGGTCAAATCACGGTCCGAAAAGTCTCCTTTAGGGGTACCAGGTGAATTTGTGTGGCAAAAAAAAGAACAGAACGAGACATTCGGATACATCCTATAGGCAGTCCACCGGGTTCTATTTGGAGCCTATCAGGTATACAACAGGACCGATGACTTTGGCTAGCAAGAAGAGCTACGGTCTGGAGCAGAAAGTGACGTACAGCAGTAAGATGAATTGCTTCGTGCTTAACTAGAAAAAGTCGCTTAGCCATATCAGACTGCTGCATACGCCTTTCAGAAGACCAACCTGTCATCACCGTCATCAACCAGAGCACGAAATGAATGCATATTAACAGTGTTTCACCCTCTATAACCATAATCCATTTGCAAGTTTTAGTGAGAAAAACCAAACGGGGAATGGGTGGTATGGCGTTTCTAGACACTCATTCAGACAGTCTGGAGATAAAATGACACTAAATTGCAGGCATATATTACAGCCTCTTGGGTCAAACAGAAGGGGGGTTATGCGGATCTCATTTTAAAGGAAACAATCGTACCCAAACGTTTTGCTATTGCTTTTGTCTCCTGCTATCAGGTTGAAGGATGACCACTTGTAGTGTAATCAGTAACGCTGCAAAGATATAGCTTCTAAACAAAGGAATATGACCACAAAAATCTTTAGGTGATACTACGTTGGCCGTGTCATACAATAAGTAACAATAATAATGAGGCATCAGTTCAGAAACAGACTTTAGCTGCTACGTATTGGTCAATTTTCGGCTATCCGATTGCTCTGTACGATGGTATACATCCTGGACCACTATACGGTGACAATGTCACAGACACTGAGACCCTTAAGATAGTCCGTTGATCTGTTCGTCGAGCTTGGCAAGTAACTTGTAAAAATTTTGTCACCATTTGAGGAGACATCATTAGTGCATAGTTGAGTGCGTACTTCCCCCTACCCGCATGCGTTCATGTGACATCGGGAGAGTGTCTATTACCTCCAAACATGGTTGCCAAACAGTGAGGTAGCGTTCTCGTAGGATGGTGACTCTCAGTTAGTTAGGTTGAGAGATAACAGGTACTCTTCCAGTGCCATATGATTGCACACAGGTAAGAAGAAAGTACACACCCAACCGAGCACTGAGGATGTTTCCTTGTTTGGTGACGAAACATTTGCGAGCTAATTGCCAAGCTTCTCAGACAATCAATCTGTTGAAATATTGGTATATTTCAACAGATTACTAGTAAAATAGTCTTCATGATAGACATCCCCTCGAATTGCAGTCAATGACCTTCTTGAGTATATTGCTAGATTGGACTTTTAATTTGCTCAAAATCGAGAGGATAGACGTAAGAAACTACTCATAAAATTGCTGAAAACTCTTCGACACCAGATTCGCTCATCATCATAAGCGAGCGATTCAGCTAGGTTCCAGGTGAGTCACTAGTCAAAACCAACCTGATATGCAAATGAGTGCACTCGTCGAAATCAAGGGGATGTTCCATTGTTTTGCAAATCTACCTTAAAGCAGCGCAACAACCCGGAGAAATTCTCTGAAGTATGGCAAAGTGAGCATTTTAGAACCGTCACCGAAATTTGCCTACCCAATTTCCTCACTATCAAAAACTAACACAAAGTATCTCTAAGATTCCCCAGCTTTTCAGGTTGTTCATATTCAACTGTCACGTGACAAAACAACATGTGCAGTCTTCCACTCCAACGTTTTTATGTTCCTCCACTCCACTCTACCCAGGTGGACTTTCAAAAAGGTTGTGTCCAAGCTGGAAAAGACCTCCTAGCCCCGTACTACCTGCATACATTGGTATGCACAGTGAGAGGACCCACTTAAATGAGCCGAAAAGTATAACGCCTAACGACGGTGTGAAGCTTTCAGCGAAAGATACTATGCACATGGATACAATGCAACCTCCTGACTGTTGTGCCTGTGGTACTGCGACTTATAACCTGACATTTAAAGGACTATGGACCAGGAATACTCATCCGAGGGACTGGCCGGTTCATAACCCGGGGCTGCTTCACTGGACCAATTTGATTGGAGCTAGCCACATGCCTGGATATCGTATCTATCAGTTTGGGGAACCAGCAAGTGCAGGTGTATCGGCAGTCTGTGCCTACGGAGACACAACGGTACTGAAGCAATCGCTCGGAATCGCCGCATCAAGTACAGGGTCAGTGAGTAGTGTCCCCACAGGGACACAAAGGGGCGCACTGGGCATCGGTCCACTTCACAGTTTGATATCTACTCCAGGTATGTGGAGTGAAGAGACACTGGATGAATCGCGCTCAACCCTGCTCGCTGTCAATCGCACCCATCCTCTAATCTCCTTTCTGACTATGCTTGGACCGAGTCCAAATTGGTGTGCGGGTGTAGCAAGTCAGTCCGTATGCCAAGCGGATTGCACGTGGATAAAGCAACTCCAGATTGACTTATTTCCCTGGGATGCTGGTGTGAGATACGGTGACACTTACATACCAAAAAACGCCGATAGAAAGGTAAGACTGTAATGACCACAAAACTCCAAATGTGTAAGTAAGTAAGTATTCGAAGTTGTTTGTTGAACAAGCAACACTTGAGAAATAGAATGATTTGTTTAACAGGTAAAGCTGAACACAAACTGTAGAGAAATGTGTGCTGGATAGCTTAAATGACAGCTATTCGCAGGAGGACAATGACCGTAACCTCAGATTTAGACTACTCGTTTAACATATTTAGGGGATTCTTCACTAACATTCATGTCATCGGAGAGATCAGCACTCAAAACCTCGCAGTGTCCCAAGAATTTCGCTTACGCAAAATTTGGTCGTATGAAACATTTCAGTTCAAACCATACATAACACCTTGGTTTGGGCGTAATGCTCTTGTCGTGTAGTTCTTGCTAGATCAATTATACCACACATTATGTTCTAGATGCCCCTTCTCAAGTACTACCCTTCTATAAGTGGTTTGGTAGAGTACTTGACGCTCTCTCTCATGACCTACACATGCACTGGCCAATGTACGTTTTGTGGCGAACTTTGAAGGCACGATCGTGAGAATAATCTGAAAACCTCTTTGGTTCGGGCCACCCAGTAGTCACCCAGCAGTTATATGGTGAGAAAATGATAAAAATACAGCTTACCAAGTACAAAAACCTGTATTCTAAAATGAGGCTAGGTATGGATTACTGGACACTGGAATATACCGTCTGAGATTTGGCAATGTCCACATGTTCGAAAGTACATTTGGACTGATTTCTTTGCAATGAAACCGATTTGGACTCTGTGAGCATGTTCCAAACACACGAACTACAGCGGCACTTCAAACAGCATCAGAGTTCAACTTCGTGAGCTAGATGTGGTCTACTCATCTGTAAAACAGTAAGTTTGTTGGCTGATCTTAGAAGGGGTGACGACAGTCATTTTGTGGCGCTCCAAGGCCAGTCTGCCCCAACACCCGATCGATATGTTTCCATCTCTGTCTGCAATTAAAGGCTTGAATGCTTGGCTCTGCACGCAAGCAGAACAAATACGCAGCCTCAACTGAGAATATCTGAATACTTGTGCGAACACTGGAGTGAACCAGACAAATCCGATTGGCTCCGATGTCCATAAAAGGTCGTTTGCACGATCAAAACCAGCACAGCCTAACACCCAATACTTATCGGAAAGCAGACAGTTAGTTCAGAGCATCGAACATATTGGTTGAATCTGAGGGAACGGTTGCCACTGTTAGATTGGATCTTCGACTGTGTGGTTCATGGTTTCTCAAGATGACAACATGAAGCTTTGTGAAGAACTGTTGACAAAGGTTTGTGGACTTATCCTAGCTGCCATGTGTCCAACTTTCAGATAGCCAACCACATTTCACCTATCCGCACTTATCCTAGCTGCCATGTGTCCAACTTTCGGATAACCAACCACATTTCGCCTATCTGTGGGTGGTAGTTCTTAGATAAATGACTCCAGATAGACCTGGCCGATAAAATGTATTAAACTAGCAGTAAGTGTTACTCTATATGAACAAAAGTTTTCACTGTTAGCTTATTAAATAAGCTTGGTTGATATCTGGCCATTGGTCTTCACGAAACCTTTGTGAATGTAGGCAGACCTGCCCCAGAAGTTTATGGGGGAAATAGTCACATCGGAAAAAAAGAGAGGCAAAGGAGGCATCATGCAGAGGCACTAGTGTGAATAGAGGCCGTCTTTCTATTCACTGAGCTGGGCGTTCTGACTGTAAACGTTTCAGTGTCGATGGGGGGAACGACTCTGCAGTTTTGTGTCTTAGTTTGGAGATTCGGCTTACACATTATCGATGCATGGTTAGACGTCTCAGCCGACAGAGCTGCCAACATACTTCTCCGCTAGAAACGCTGCTCCTTGACACCTGCGCGAAGAAAATGGACAAAGCCACAACAGATGCGAGAAAGTGACACAATTGGAGTGAATGAAAAGCATTAAGCCATGTCTTTTGATGCCATCCTTGCTCACTGGGGGCAATCAAGAGGAGCGGAAGCCTGCGATCATTCGAATAAAACACGCCAAGGTGTCTTGAAATGAGAAAGAGGTGCTGGAAAGTGGACTGAAAATACAAGTTCACTGCAAAACAGTGAAGTAACGGACATTTCCACTTTTGTTTCATGTAAGTCTAGCTAGCCTCCCCTCATTTCAATGCGCGCTTAACTACGCAACCATTCAAACTAACTATTGGGCATTGTTTGCTTCAGTTTTCTAATTTGGTTTCTCCCGATAAAACGTACTTTACACCTCGATAAAAGGATTTTTCCTCCTCGTACCCAATGCAGGACATCCCAGATCCCATCAGATACATCACTTTTGACTGGATGCCCAACCACCCATTCACACCCAATCTGCCGGTTGCACGGGTAACTTTGGAACGAGTACTTCCAAAAGAATCTTGGCAATGTACATCTGAGCCAGGCGTAGGGGTTGAACTGTTTCGGTCAGATGGAACCACAGAAACTGTTGGTGGGAAGGTTGCGGAAGGAGAGAGAGACCATACGATAGCACAGTCGGTCATTGGTGATCCGGTTGGTGGAGTACTGAAGAAATCACGATCAAAGTCGGGTGGCCACGGCGCTGGTGGTGGTGGTCTAACTGGAGATAACCCACTCTCTGACCCAAGTCTGGCTCAGATGGCCACGTTTCTGTGCATCACTGATCAGTGGTCTCCCTGGGGCCAATGCTCAGTGACCTGTGGCGTTGGGCGCCGCGAACGTCGGCGCCTTATGATAAGCAACAAGAAGAACGAACTTTGTCAGCACGTACCTCTGGTGGAAGAGGAAGTAAGTGGTGAAGCATGGGAGTGACGGACATTGCCGGAAACGCTGTTTTCAATTTTAAGCCTTAAATGTTTTGTTACGGTATGCCTCACTAGTGAAGGCCTGACGCACTACCTGTTTTCGTCATCCTAGTTAATAGTCACTCAAGGCTAAGAGCGTTGCTTTCCGCGTAGGGTATTGGACTCACTAATTATATACAGTTCGTCAACGAACACAGCCATCGGTCATTGAAGGACTGGCGTTTTATCCAGCCTAAATGAGATCACGTTCACGCACAACCATAAGTCAGAGAGTGTGAGGTGTGCGAAACACTGAGGTAGCAAGACGAAATGATGTGAGACGTACGTTTTCCAACTGAGTGATGACGTCAGATGCAGGTGATTGTACACAAAGGGCTACCGACAGAATCCATGAGATTTTAAGTATTATAGCACCATGGCATGAGTTTTTCTATGGAGTTCAGAGTTCACTGCGATCCGAACTTCATTAATGAATAAGCTGTATGTCTCATGATGTATCATTTTAACCAAAAAGATTTCCGTACAACACCAGCATCATCGTTATTTGGTTTTCCCTAAAAAATAGTGTACGAAACCAATCGATGGCCATAGGAGAGCTTTCAGAAGCCCTGTGAGTAATGTGTTTTGCCTAGAGTAAGTGAGTGCATGTCAGCAGAAAACCGGTTTAAAAAACCGTAGAAATTCACAGTACACAACTGTTAATGTGCCGCCTCTAAGGGATCAAATGCGGTTCATTGTTGGTGCCAAAAATCAGTGGAAAGAACTACAACCTAATCAAGCGTCAGAGACGTTTTACCGATTCCATTCAAACAACTACGAGTTACGAGTGAAGCTCCCAATTTTCTAATCAAGAACATCTGATGTCGGCCAAACTAGCTGACTTGCATCAAGAAGGCTCACAGCCTACTCGCTTTTGAGGGAACAGATGCATAGTTAAATATGTACAGTCGCTATACCCATACACTGAGGTCTCTCCACCTTAATTTACGTGCTCTTATCTCGCTTTCAGCTTTGTGAAGGTAGAAAGCGCACATGCGATTTCAGTGCTCCGTGTAGTTTACTCCCATGGACCGAATGGACCCCGTGCAATGCGACCTGTGATAACCGCGACGGAGTGCAAACACGCCGACGTTACTTGGCTAGGCCGGAGGAACTAGACCGTTGCAGACATGTGTTTAGAACACAAGAGGAGCTGAACGGGAACACAGTGGTAGAAAAACGCGAATGTGGCCCAACCGAGAACGAATGTGACCCGGTCACAATTTGTGGTGAGGGACGCAAAGATGGTATACCTTGTGGAAAGAAAATGTGGCAGTATTATTATAGTGCCGTGGAACATGACTGTCTGCCGTTTGAGTACCTAGGTTGTAAAGGAGGCCGGAATCGATTCCGAACGAAAGAGGCGTGTAGATCAATGTGTCTGAAAGTGGTGGAGAGTCTGCCTGGTTGGAGGCGTGAGCGCATGGCATTGTTACAATATCAGACATCGCAAATCTCATCCGAAGCGACAGATGAAAGCCGAAGAAAATCCATGAAGGCAGCGGTACACTGTACTCAACCAATGGATCCTGGACAGAAATGCAGTGATGGCGCTGACAAACTGATCGGCGCATGGTAGGTGCCAGCTCTTTGAAACCTATAACACTGCCCACAATGACAAAAATTCCTCCGCCTGATAGAACAGTTTTTTGGATGTTTTGACGTAAATTAAGGTTTTAGCAGTCACCTTATCTAGAATGCAAGGCAACTCGGAAAGCGCTCGCTTCAGGCAAATGTTGCTGAATCACAAAGTACCTAAAACACTGTTCCAGAACTCATCTAAAAAAGAAACTCTCCAACAACGGAAAAGGATGGATTGCTTTATTTCTTCCTACCCTGCAGGCTAACCAACTTGTAGCGAGTTGGGCAGAGGCAAGTGTTTTTAGTATACTGCCAAAATGGATTGCTTCCTGTTTGTAGACAGCATAAAAATCACTCACTAAAAACATTGCACTATTTACAAGCATCAAAACTTGGATGTCTTCAAATTCAGCCCAACTCCAGACATTATTCACCCCGAAAATTCAGTTGAAGGACACTCAAAACGAGGTTGCATTCGAATTCCATTGTGCCACTCCTTAAAATAAGTAATCGAATGAAGTATATTTCTTGTCGACACAGCCTCCCTCCTTCAGGTATGAAATATTTCCTCACTGTGACTGATGCCATGACATTCAGAGTCTGACTTCAATAAATTAACCTCCGTCCTTTCATCAAGTGGCAAAAATTTTAACCCCTCAGACCAGGTCATGATCGATCCGAGCGAAGGACATCACCTGATCACGTCACTGAAGCGTATACTTAATAGACTCTAACACAAGTAGTTAGGAGCTTGAGATAAGGGTTTTGTTCTCTCAGAATCAGTTGTTTATATCTTCCCGGTGACCATACGGCAAGCGACCCGACCCTGACCCATTAATCCGGCTAGCTATTACTCGACGTGTTAGAAACATACAACTACCGGATTTCTGCTAAACACAAGCTAACGACAGGCAATTTTCCGAGAGAGTCACATAAGCGATAACGACTGAGTAAGACCTTATTTCAAGGAAAGATACCTCAACACTGAATAACTCAGCGGTGAGGTAGCTCCTGTACTGCACATTCGATCGATGGATGAGACAAACCAGAGATGTGTCTGATTCGCACGTCGGCCCAACTGCAGTGCAACACTGAATAACTCAGCGGTGAGGTAGCCCCTGTACTGCACATTCGATCGATGATTGAGATAAACCAGAGATACGTCTGGTTCGCACGTCGGCCCAACTGTGGATGAGTGTTTCACCCTAATGTGATACTCAACTAAAAAATTATTTAAGTTCGGGAATAAGCACAGCCGATAAGAGTGAAATTAGCGGTAGGTCAACAGCTTGTAATCAATCTGTTATGTCATCCTGTGTTTTAATTTTTAGAAGCATTTTAGGTGAAGATTCCCGTCCAAAAGAGGGTTTGCCTTTAGTAGGATGGCCCTTGATAGAAACATAGCTCAAACTTGTCCTTATGTACACTAAATTAGTTACTATAACAATAACTTAGCAAACTAAGTAGCTATTTTCAGTTCTTTTACCCGTTCACATGGCGGAACGATGAGGGCTCAAACTTGTCCTGATGTACACTAAATTATTTACTATAACAATAAATTAGCAAACGAAGTAGCTATTTTAGTTCTTTTACCCGTTCACATGGCGGGACGATGACACTGCTTGGATCTGTTTGCCTCGCCAGGTGTACACCCGAACTGAAAAAAGAATAGTAAAGTTCCGATTGTTGACCCATGATGATCGCTGATTGTCTTGTTGGATGAAATACCTTAGGAGCGACAGAGGATGTAACCTGATGAGACCTTGTGGGTTTTGAATTTTTCCGCCTTAAAAATACATGTTCTTCGGGTTACTCTGTTACTCTGCTTCAGGTATTATTCCCCAAGAACTCGTCGGTGTTTCGAGTTTCTTTATCTCGGATGCGGTGGTAATCAGAACCGTTATGCTGACTACACATCATGCATATCTGACTGTATGCCTGAGGAATGGCAAAAGTCGCTTCAAATGGCCAAAGCTCTAGCAGCCACAGAAAAGCAATCAAAACACAAAGAGGAATTCTACCCGTCCGTTGACTCCACGAATCCAGGCACCGAGTCAACTACCATGCTCGATAAGGCCATGGTAGAAAGCCTTCGTGGACCGAAACAAGACTGTCAACTAACGGCTTGGGGTGGCTGGAGTCCGTGCTCGGTTAGTCGCTCTCATCAGACGGGAAAACAACAACGATGGAGACACATACTGAGATCACCTAGACATGGCGGGAGTACCTGTGGCAGACTTTTTGAAGAACGTGCATGCACTGGGACTTTTTAACGTTATAAACTAGATGTTTTTTCTATAATATTTCAAGGGACCAAAATTCACGCTCTCTTGCATTCACTTGCCAGTTCGTATTTCAAATTCTGCTTATGGATTCTTCTTGCGCCTTATTACAGCACAGGATAGTTTAACTGCATACCAGAATGTATGGAATTTGACAACGTCTGTTAATAATGAAGACCTACTTATTTTGCGACTTTTGTCGACTGATGTTCAACACGTCATAACAAGGAAGCATGACTGCCTGCTTTTTCCGACAAACGTCGGCGAAGAGGAGAAACGGAGGGAACCGTGATTGTCATTCCAAGACTTGTCATTCTTTAGGCAGCCAATCGGCTGATTGCTAGACGTGTATACTTTCATAGTGATATCACGACTGCCCAAAGCATAGAATGGCTAATGCTATTGAGAGGATACCAGTTTTAAGGTTGCTGAAAACTCTCCGACAGCCCATGACCGGTCTTGTCTCTCTGCGTGTTTGTCGGAAAGGCGCAGTCCTCGGGTTCCCATCAAATTCATGTTCTACTTGGACCCAAATTGCGCACACCTGGTGAAATATAACACCAGGTTTGTTTGTAAATAAGTAAATTTCGAGGATCAATACTCTTTTGCTGCACTTTGCGCCTGACGGTTTATGGGAATGTTCTGAACTTTGAGGGGTCACGTGATGTACAGTCGATCAGTCGGCAATTTGAATTTTATGGTGAGGTGCCGGTAGCCATAAAACTGCTCATATTAACTTGAACAACGTCTGTCTTATTGCCACCTACCACTTGTGAGCAGCGACTGCTTTTAATTTGCTCAGTTGATATCTTAACACGTTCCCATGGCTTCTTGTGTGTAAGCTGGCATCAACAAGCCCCAAAGATACAGTGAGAAAGCAAATGTTCGGTTGTTTAGCATGGAATCCATTTACAACGTATATCCAGCATCAGGAACTTTGATATCTCTGTCATGCGTTTCGAATATCGATTTATCAGCTACCAAGAAAGGCATTGTGTTCCATTCCCAATTCCGATTGGCGCAACCAGAGGTTTTGACAGCTTTAACGTTTACTCCAAGACGGGATCCGTGTGATCCCTCTGTGCTAGTTTAGAGACCCGCGAATCATTTTCAATCGATTCCCTGCTGTTAATCCCCAGATATATTACTCAAATGAATGACAGGTGTAGATGCTCTCAACTTCCCTTTCTAGACTTGGGCAGTCTGGCAGTATCCCAGTCCTCATGCTTCCTTCAGGTGGTATAGCAGCTAGACACGCAAAAGGATGCCACAGCTGAGTGATTATCGATTATCTTATTTTATGATGGTGATGCTGATAGCTTCCGTAGTATGTTCTATTCATTTTCCAATAACTATACCTTTCAGCAAGTCACTCTGTCAGATGGTTTCGAGTGCACACCTCGTCTGAGCGTTTGGTGTTGTTTCAATTTGTACTTTTACTAGAGGCCACAATCTCCGTGACTTAATTGCCTACAAAACAACAGTAACTGTTCAATTGATCTGTACAGCCTCTATCTGACACTTGCTATGTAGCTCCAACTAGACAGAAAACCAGTTAGAAAGGAACAAAGAACCCTAAAACTTGTCAGGGAGTCGTTTCCATGTGCATAAGTTTGTCAACAAGCTTCTGTGGTGTTCTGCTGGTGACTTTTCAGGAAGAAGTAGAGGTGATTTCAGTTCGGGTTTTAGTTCGAATTAGTTGGATTGTCCGCACACTACGAGAAGTTTAATCCGTTTGTATAGACGCAATGCACTACTCATAGGTCATTCTAGCACCCCTTGAGGATAGCTTTCATCCTCACTATAACCCGCAGTTGAGGTACTTGACTCTCACTTGGTATTTACCGGCAGTAGGCCAGTAGACTGTACATTCGGGATCCCGAACTAAACGCGTTCAGTCTGAGTTATCCGAAACAGGTCCTCTCTCTGCGTATGGATTAACGAAATTATCAAAGAGATCGTCTTGATGACCGAACAAAGGACTCCGAGCAACTTACCAGCACAGTCCAGAACAAATACCCACTGGCTTACACCGGGCTGCATGCTCCGTACGGCATTTTCAAAAACATAGATCAAGTGTGTCAGGGCTTCAACTGCTGGGTTCCGTTGTGATGGAAAGGCTGAGTAGAAGGTGGCGTAGATGACTGGTCGGTTGGCTTGATCGAAGCCAATTTGACGCTGCAAACATTAAGGGAAAGGTAGAACGGAAAATAGTTATACGATGGATTCTACACCGCTCAGAGTCAATGAACTCAAAGTTGACAAGGGATATGTATTGCATCGGGGATCACAACCGGTTTAGAAAAGCGTCAGCAACAAAATAACCCCGAACTTGCGAACCGTACGATCGCGGATTATTTAGGAGTCACGGGGCGTTTGTTTTCGGAGTCCACAAAGCGTTTTTCTAGTCAAATGTAAATTTTTTCCCCACCTTTGGTTAGCGCACACAATCCAGTGATCTGGTCGCTCGTGCGCCTTTCACCGAAACGATCACCTGGCGGTCGCACAACCATTCGTTTGTTGCTAACTGCTGTGTGTCTCATACCACGCCATCATTTGCAGTGACGATCGCTACGTTATAGGCATCCGCCCACATCCGGCTTTGAAGTTGTTTAACAACAGTGATTACCGCCCATCCACATCAGTTTGTCTAATAGGGTGGATCACAAAAAGGCTGTCAGTGACGCGTCCTATGACGCTTTGTAGTACCCGCGTTCACCTAGTAAAAATGTCGGTGTTGTGTTTCTATACTGTGTGGTCATGTACTTCGCTTCGTGCGAATTGTTAAGTATCGCATGGAAACCGATCATCATAGTTTGTTGTTTACCGTGTTCTCATTCGTTCCCCATCACATTTCGAATTTGCACAAATCTTCCAGTCTGTCTCACAGACAACGTAATGCGACAAATCGTTTTATTAAAAACGGGACCCTGAAACTACTGGTTCACGTTTCTTTCGGTTGAGCAGTCCTTCTGTCCTGGTTCAGTTGTTCTCGTGGGTCCACACCAAAGGGGGATGCAACAGACTTGAGTTTCACCCATCATCATCAGCAGAGCACATCCTTGGCGGTTTACGTGTGACACTAGACCAGCGCATGCTGGTGAACTGTCTGTCACGTTGAATAGACGAACAGACAACGCTTGAGGAACGCTTTAGGTTAGTTCGACTAGTTGAGTGCCTCACCCTTTGATGTTTCAGGATGGAAAAAGTGATATGAGTGCTTTCATACTTCCGGAAAATCATATTTTTATAATCTTCAGAAAAATATCTGCTAGTTAGCCTTACCATTTTAACCGACAAAGAACAGTGAAAAATCCTAGTGCGTCTTAGATGACACTGTCCTCGCTGGCGGGTCGACGGAACCGACAAACTTCAGACGTTAAGCAGCGATAAAAATTTGTGAAAGATTCAATTCCATTCTATTGTTTAGGGGCACCATTAAACTAAATGCGTCGAACCAACAGATAAATCCTGAAAAAAAACCCTATACAGAAGACAAAGTCAGCACGTGAAAATTAGTGGAACAAACAAGGAGCAATGATCCGTATCAAATAGCTTCATTGACCGATGATTCTTGAATGGCTCTCTTGATGTGAGGAACCAGGTTCTTGTGCAACAGGGACATCTCCGTTATTTGTTTTGACTGTTCAACTGACATTAGTTCATGTGAGTGAGTTATATTCGTCATGGTAACATCAACAACGTATTCACATTAAGTGGTGCAATAGAAACTGCAACAAAATTGAAGTCATTGTGAAGAAATTGGAACCTCTTTCAATCCTGTAGACATTTGCAGAGCAAATCACGGTTCGATCCTTTAAAATGTTGGGATCAACAAATCGGTCAAGCGTGAAAAACTTGTCTCTAGTGTAAAGGGTGTTTACTGCATGATTTGTCAACACACTTCTGACTGTTTACGAGTAGTACTCGCCTTTGTCGAAGATGGTGATTACGCCCAAACGGGGTTCTGAATGCAGGCAGCCTGTCTAACGCCTACGACTGAATGCATCTCATCAAGTTCTACTTCCCCATACTTCTGCAGTGGTTGTTCGTCATGCGGTTAAGTCACAGAAAGAGGTGAAACTGATCCCGAAGATACAAAAAGCGTAGCCCACCTTGACAATTAGCTTTTGGAAAACAAAACCGCCTATTAAGCCGAAACTTTTATTTAAATTATCAACCGGACACCGGAAATTCAGGGGCAGGAGGTTAAAATAATCCGCTCTCCAGATTCCCCTGTGGTACATACGAGAAGGCGAGCGATGCAGAATGAATTTTAAAAAATTACGGCAACAGTGAGGGACTTTTTAGTGTTGTACATTAAACAAGTAGTGACCAGACAACCTGAAATAGATTATGTCTTAAGGGGGATTTTCACAAGTGCCTCACCGAGTTCAGGGAAGTTAGTGTACTGGCATGAGACAGTTCTTCTTGCTCTTCAATGTGACCGGTACTCTAGATGATGCTCAGAAGCTGAAGAACACTATCTCGACATACCAAGTATTCTATGAAGATCCGTTAACGCACTTCTGATCTGGTACCTACAAAAAATGGTTGACTTTCGACTCTATCTTTTAGCTGCATTTACATGTTCATGCGTGGCTATTTTCTTGGCATCACAACTTGCCTAACAAGGTGACTTGAATTTGGCGCTAATACACACACAACCACAGCGTGCTTCACATATTCAAACAAACACTGCAGTTGAATTTACCGGGTCCATATGTCTTGGGACATTTGCAAATATGTCTTCCTGTCAGCCACAACCACTGAGTCACATGGCACTTGGTCGTCTCAACAGAAAATTCATGAATCATTGGCGTAAATGATAGCTCAGAGGGTAGGACAGTGATGTAGTTTATTAGAAGTGGGCTGTCGCGTTCGTTCGCATTCGTTTGTTGTGCGAACATGGCAGATTCCAAGCGATCTTTCATGAAAGTCCCCTTTGGCACACGTGCTTCGAGTGTCCCTAGTACACTTGGCTGTTGGTTTGGCGAGCATCACTTAGCTGACGGTCAAGCCCCAACAGCATTGTATAACTATTGTTAATGCGGCTCGATGCCTGATTGTGACGCTGAACGATCCAGATGAGTAAGCAAGCTTCAGGTTTGAAACAATATGACTAACGTCGGTGCTATGACTGCTGATGGGTCACAAATTAGGGAGCCGGTAAATCAAGGGTTTTCTTTTGTGCCTCACATCGACTGGATTAGAATCTAGGACAGACGAATTCCACCGAATGGTGAATCGCCCGGGTGTTCAGGTAACATGATGGTGAAGAAATAATCGAATGATGAATCTGCCGAAATCATGGGGTGATGTCGAAACTTAAGGAAGCTTTGGGCGAATATCGGCAGTCTGAATAAAGGAAGACACTACAAATTACCTCGATTATGTATGTGACGTAATCAGTATGAGAACTAACGGTTGTGGCAATGCTTCTCACTAAACTGTACATCCACGATTATTGGCGCACATTAAACGTAGGGTTGGGGACTAGCAACCGACTTCTCAAGAAGATATTTTGACGTTGACGAATAAAAAATACAAAATGGCCCGCTCTTATTTTGGTTCCAGCTAACAGGCATACGGACCCGCTTATAAGCGTGCCTTACCCGACGTATTGACCAGGGTGCAAGAATGTTTGAATCAAGGCTTAACACAAGGGTTTTCAAAATGATTTTCCGTCCACTGCCGTCACCGTACTGGATAACCAAATTTACTATTATGTCTGATTGTCGGAAAACTGGGAGTCAAGAGATCCTTCATCCTACATCCTTCAGAGTTTGGGCTTTATTTTCTTTGCTTGTGCACAGATTATAGCGACGTGAGCGCAGTCGCCACACTTCTCTGTGGAGACATGTCCTAACCAAAGGCTTTGATTGTGACACTGCTAGCATATCGGTTCGTGCCATATTCAACCGACTACCTGAATGACTATTTGTTGAGCGCTCTACCTGCTTCTACTTTTGCCCACTGCCTGCCTGAAACAGAAGATGCTGTACGCGACTTAGACTGGGTACACGCAAACCAAGAGGCATATATGTTTTCTGTCTTTAACCGAACATCAAAGTTCATCCCTTCTCCGACTAAAGTCGATGTTTGAGCCCCCAAGTTACCGTAGCAGTCGCTGACTAGATCACGCGTCACAAACACTTAAACCACGTGACTATCTCTGTCCCACTTGCAACTTAGCCGACAACAGGTACACCATAACATCCCATCTATTTTTGTTTACGCGTCGACCACCAGCGTCACGCGCCAGGCTTGCGAACTTCAACCACATCAGATCAAGTATCAAGCACAATAAATATCAAAGTATCAAACACAATAAACAGGCAGCCGACTCGACCCAACACACACACACACACACAGGACAGGAATTCAACCAAGCTCCACAAGTCTCCACGGCTAACTAGGGAACACTTGTAGCAGCTATACTGCAGTGAAGACACGTCCCGCGTCCGGGACTTCACTCAGGAACCCTCAACAGTTGTCCTCAAACGATAAGTCACTTCTTTCGCTTTTTCCACTTTTCACATTATATCTACTTTCACCAAGTGCACATACTTATTGTAATCATCAGTTAGCGCCTGTCACCTTCTGGTAATCAACCTAATTACGCTACAGCCACAGCACTAACAGTACAACGAGATGAAACCCATGACTTCCTTTAGCCAGCTACATTTAACAGTCTGTCACTAACGAAACAAACCAGTGGAGCTGATCGAGCCAAAATTGGGACATCGCCGAACTATAGTTCTGTTCACCCATCTGAACATGCAGTGGCTGAGTCGATAGTCATTAAAGGAAGTCGATGAAATGTGTTCTTGAAATCGTTCCACTCTAAGCTGCGTTTTCTTGTTGCTTGCGTTACTCGCTTTTGATGTCTTTGTTCTTTATTTCTATAGGAGGTGTACTTCTGTAAAAACTCAAAAAATCGAGGATTCAAGCGGACTCTTCAGTGGGGAAATATTTGGGGAATTGAATGTCATTTTAGAAGCCTTCGTTGGGAAATAAAATCCACATGAGCTCGAGCTGTTAGCATGGTTTTTTTAAGGCTGATGCAGAGCATAGAAGCCATCTCACGCCTCCTTCGAACTCTGACTGACGCTTCTCACCACTGATAATCTCACGTGGATATCGGAGGCAGGCTTATTTTCTTCTTACCGATGGCGTCACGTTTCCGTTGGACATGCTACAATTGTCGTTTTTCTTGTTTAAAATGATGCGAGATGATTATCAACAAAATGTTTGACTTTATTAGACTTACTAATGTGTGTGAACCTGGATGTGTTCGGCAGTGATTGCAATCCAGAGCAAATGGACGAAACTCAGTTCTCCAAGTTATGGTTTTGCGCAGCATTTTTTCCGTGGCCTCCATATCCCAATCTCGAGATTTCAGGAAGCGTACTAGACTGGAACCGAAAACGAATTGCGCGTGGCGGTAATAAATCAATCAGACGTTTACTTGTGTAATTTAATAAAGTGTAATATTTAGTACTTTGAAGTAGACCCGCGTCGACAACCTAGTGGCACGTTTACACGGTGTCATCCACAGAGCTTATGCTCATTCGTCATTTTTGAGCTATTACATTTCAGTGACTGGTAGAAGGAGGCGATAAAATAAAATAACTTTGCTTTGAAAAGGTTGGCATTTTTCCAGACAAGTAATCTCCTCCTCCTGGACCGGACACACTTGCATTTTTTGAAGAGCTTTCTGGTTTGCGTCTGCTCGACAACAGGGTTGAACTCGGAAAATGAAAACTTCTTCCTTCTGGTGTGGAAAGAAGACTGGCGTCGACAGCCTGCAGAGAACGCCTATGGCTAACCTCATTTGGTGGAACCAAACAAATCTCTTTTGAAACAACTCGACTACAAAGAACTGGAGGACTTTTCATAAAGGAAACTATTCTCAAGGTTGCTGAAAACTCTTCGACCTTGTAAGTAGATTCGTTTTTTAAAATATACTGTTATAATTCGAATGTCGTGCCAACTGAAACATGGGCCTGTGTGCAGCACATTCAATTGAAGAACATCATAAACGAGAGATTCAATTGAGTCACTCGTGGAAACCAAAATGATTTGCAAATGAGTGTATTTCTCGAAAAAAGTCCAATATGAGTCCAAGCAGAACATAAGGTTGGCAGAAACTTGAGGAATGCGCCTATCTGATGAGCCCAAAGAAGGGCGAAATCGGTCGTGGTCTGTCGAAGAGTTTTCAGCGACCTTATGAGTAGGTTCTTTTATGAAAAATATACTGCGATATATCGAATATCGTGCCAACTGGATCATGAGGCGGCCTGTGTGCAGCACATTCAGTTGTAGTTGAGTCTCTCGTGAAAACCAAATTGATTTGCGTATGAGTGTACTTCTCGAAAATAAAAGACTTCTTTGGTCTGTTGTTGCTTCCGGTGAATGCGAAACCCAGTAACAATCTGGCATAAGATGCTGGTATGAAAAGAGGAGGGGCGTCATGTCTTCTGCGCAAGGATGCCAAAGGGACTGTTCGCTTCTTTGTAATTTGGTAGACGGTCTGACTGAAAGGCGAGGCATGATGAAAATGACGCCTGAGTACGCTCTCAAAGTCTAGCAGTCGAGCCTTGCACTGCTCTCGAATACCTCCGTCTATTGAGCCTTCTTGAAGTTCCGTGACAATATACACGTTCGATAGTGTCTGTTGGCAAAACGACGGGAATCTGAGTCTACTTGAAACGGGTGGGAAAGGATGCTTTTTCAAATGTCATGACAGTTACGTTCCACATGTAGTCAGTCACGAGTTAGTTTCCCGATAGTTACCCGTGAGAGAAAAAAGTGCCAACTTGGACCTGCCACGCAAAAGTTTGCGTTTGAATGATGCCGCTGAATCACATCGGGATAAACCACGAACAGCCAACAATTTCGTGGATTGGCTGTGGAATGATGAGGCTTTAAAGTGAGGTACAGCAACACGGTAACTATGCCTGTTGCTGCAACTGTTTGATTGCAGCAATGCGCATCTCACGAAACCCCGGAGAGTCTCGATCCGCGACCTTCCTTGGACCTGCCACGCAAAAGTTTGTGTTTGAATGATGCCGCTGAATCACATCGGGATAAACCACGAACAGCCAACAATTTCGTGGATTGGCTGTGGAATGATGAGGCTTTAAAGTGAGGTACAGCAACACGGTAACTATGCCTGTTGCTGCAACTGTTTGATTGCAGCAATGCGCATCTCACGAAACCCCGGAGAGTCTCGATCCCGCGACCTTCCAGCTGAAAGTTTGAACTCATAGCCGTTCGGCCATGAGCGGTTAATATTACAAACTGGGAGGTCGCGGGCTCCAAACTGTCCTGAGTTTCCTGAGTTTCGCGCACTGCCGGTGATTCCTAATACGGATGAAGACGCTGCACAATGCTTCTCAAATTTTTGGCATAGATTGGCTTCACTTGCAGGACGACATCTACACCACAAATTATCAAATCTCCTCACACAATCAAATGTCGTATCAACTCACGTTTCATCACTGTTTAGAAAATTCGGTTCTTCTGGACTTTTTAGATCTGCAATCTGTTTGCGCAATTGCTCAACAAGTAGTGCAGTGTCCGGAGCTCCGTTCATAGTTTCTCGTCGGCTAAAAAAGAACAAAAAAGTTATGGTTTCGGTGATGATGCGATTTTTGTATTGGACATTTTGAATCACTCACGTAGACTGGTTTAGGATGACCGTTTGTGACAAAAGTTGATAATGTTTGACCTTTTCACAGTTCTGACCAAAACATTTCTGTCACAGGAGAAGTTTTTTCCAAGGTCTCTCCTTGAAAAAAGCCCTTTTCCAGGAGATGTTTGCCCCCATGACTTCTCATCAGGTCATGACACGAGTATGATAGAAGTTTTTCAGAATAAACCATTTTTCCGCCTGAGCTTCCCATCTATGTGTGAATCAATTAAAAATTTATTCTGACAGTCTTGGAAAGAGGTCTGATTTTGCTCATACTCAGTCTCCTTGAATTTTCCTCCAGTTGAAGACTTGGCCCCTTGATGAAGCTTTTTGGAGACCGTTTGTGGGATATTTTGTTGACCAGATTCATTTTGGATGAATGGTTTTTTCATTATTTGATCTTACATTGTCAGTCTCACTACTGTACTTCTCAATATCGTGTGCGCAGGGAAGAACGAATCAACATTCGAAGTTGGAGATGCCAGGAGGACTAAGGAACCGGACTGGACGATAAAAATTTTGTGGTCTTATTTTAAAATTAGCTTGACAGAAACGGGAGGCTCAAGAAGATCTCAGCTGAATCGCTCATTTTCGTATCATCAAATCAAAAGTGACACGCAAAAATCATCTCCAGTTTTAGACGAAGAATATCGAAGCATTTGTCGGCACAGCAGTACTCGTAAGTCCCTTGATAATAATTCAACTTGAAAATCAGTGCGTAACTCCATATGAACATGTAGCAAGGTGTTCAGGTGAGAAGTAAAATGTTTGGAAATTCGGAAACTACAACGGTCTTATGAGTCGCAAAAAGACCGGTAGTGTGGGCTATCGAACAGTTTTCATCCATCCTGCAACCAATACTGTTTATTTGATACTAACCACAGTGACCAACCGGGGTCTCCAGATAGCGATATTTCAGACGATATCTAGCGTGGTAAGCCAGCAAAGTCCATTACCTTGGCATTCCATATCCAGATAAGTACGTCGGCGACTAGTTATCACGTGATGCTTAACACGCAGCGGCTAACTGGGACTCCTAACCTTATAGCTTCATCCCCAATATTCACCCACTATTCCCACTACTCTTCATGTCATCCTCGCTTGTTTCCGTCATCGAAACAAGAGATCCAGGATCTGCCAGAGTTGTTACGAATGCCATGTCACGTGGCCAGATTAGATAACCGTAAATAACTAGCTATAAAGTGTCCTTGGCCTCACTGGAAATGACACAGTACAACAGGGGTGACCTTGGGATACTCCTCCATCTGAGTCACACATACATGGAATAGATTAAGTCAAAATAGTAAACCCGTATGCGTATTTATCAGTTTGACTGTTCTTATGGAGAAAGACACATTAGTGAAGCAATGAAGCAGCTATCTGTCTGTATACATTCCAGTGGACACTCGAAAAGTTCAATTTTTGCTGACCTGCAGAGCGCAGGATTAGCACCTTAAGGGCTGCCGAAAGTAGTTATGGTGTTCCTTAGGGATTTTCAAAAGCGTGTTAATCAGTGGACCTAGTCATTGCTGGATTAGCTGACGTACCAGTTTGCATCCCCAAACGTATAGTTGAACAGCACCTTGTATTGACACTGACACTCAGCCTACACTCTAACCCGACCTCAGTCAGAAACACCATCGAGCCCCGCTGCGTTGGGACGCTGTAGTACCTACCTTGTTGGAAGCAGGCTTCTGTGCTGACCTGATACCTACTGTTCTGTCGTAAATGGTGCAGCCTTATTGAGCGTGAATTCGGGCTATTTTTCTAAAAGCCGTTCAATTTTCGATATGAAATTCGGACTCGAAAAACTGCTCGGGTACATCTGAATAGCAAAGCCATCAACAGAAACACACACAAACCGCGAGACGTTGCGTCCCCGAAGGGTAGAATTATCAAACATGTGTTGTTTTAGAGGGTGTTGCAACGTTAACGCGATTAGTTACTATTCATAGAAACTCGTGCTTAGCAAGCAGCTGACTGATTCGGTAGCACAGAAACGGACTTTGACGCCTTGGGATAAAAAAGTCTGAATTTGGAAAAACACCATTGGCCGGATTACTTGTTTAACTGGGGTCAGACAGGTGGGAACAAATTTAGCTCTCACACGTAAGTTCTAAAACGATTGGCGTCCCAGTGTCTGTTGCCTAGGCAGCACGCTGTGGGAGCTCTTGGGGGAACTATGGAATGGTCGATATTTATCTGGTTAGTTGTTACCTCAAGCGTAGACATTTTGTCACCCATAGAAAGTACTTTTATATGGACGGAAGTTCATGATCGGCCAAGTGAGAGTAAACAATGTATTACTAGGTATGAATGTATCAATTTAAAAAAAACGTAGACAAATATGCCTGCAGTCATTCAGGCTGCATTATATATATATATATATACATAATTATGCCGGATTTGTGAACACAAACTACTACTCACTTTGTTTTCTGTATCAAACAGTAGCTTACCAAAGTTGACTAGACCGGCTTTAACCTAAAAATACCTTGATTAGTACCTATTTACTTCCGCAAGGACAGAGTGTTTGCAAATCTGCGCTGACAGCTAATGTCCTCTTTGAGGTCGAGACAGCTCAGTGGTTAAGGCACGAACTTTTGGCCGGGAAGGTCCGTGGTTCGAACCCAACCTCAGCATCTTGACTGCTCTTGGGCAGCCTAACAGTATCTCAGTCCTCGAGCTTACTTCGGGTCGCATGACAGCTGGGTACCGATAGGGTGTTACAGCTGAACGTTACCTATGTTTATCGTCAATGACCTTTTTTGTTCCTTATACAGAAAAGAAAGCACACCCGGTGGTAAGATGAGCTCGTTCAGGACCAGGAAAGAATTGCAAGAGTTTGGATGAGAATCGGGTTTCATAGCTTGGTCGAAACATGAGCCAATGAACTCCTGGTTTCTGATCCGACTCATATGATTTTTCGCACGCCTGACACTCAGCCTTGCAATTTTTCGTTAATCCTTGTCCATCAGTCCCTGTAATCTCTTCAAAGATCGCAGAAGTTTGGTCGGAGCATGTGCGCTATTGCTGCAAATGCGTTTTCCACCTTGTTTTTGGTTTCATATGCAATATCCGGTCGCAGGTTTTGTTCTCGATACGAGCACAGCTCCATGACATCCACCAGTCGGGACGTCTAGAGGAATAGTAGCCGATTGCAGTCCGTCATTTTTTCACCACGCCACAAAAAGAAACAGGACCAGTATGGCCAAAACGATCAATCAGTTGACAAGGCAGGAACTTGACGAACGAGCAGCTAAACACATGAACATTCTGTTACTTGATGGAAGCTATTCAAGCCTGGCCTGAAATAATTTGAAGGTGCATAGCTCGATAGGTCACTTGTTTGGTTGTCATCCTGCAGATGTCACACTGTCTGCCACAGTCTGTTTCCTTAACTGCTAGTCTGTATGTCCGGTAACGATCCGGTAACGTTTCCTGTTCGTTGTTCTGACAGGCGAAAAACTACACAGGACCAAGGTCTGGCGCTGTGTAAATCTGCCTTGTTTACCCTATCCACAATTCATGTTTCTATGACCACAGTGCTATTTAATAGTGGGATCGATAGAGGAAAAAAGCGGCGTTTTTCTTATCGATGTTACAGGATGTGAAGTTGTTGATCAAGACTGTAAACCGCCGGATAGTAATGGTTGCTAATCTGTTCGCTGAGCTTGGCGACTGACTTGCAATGGTTTCATCATCAGCGCGCACTCGGTTGGGTACCCCTATTTGCCTACGTGCTTTCATATAGCGTTTGAATGCTATCTGTTGTCTCTTCAGTTGATTGAACAGTTGAGTGACAAATTTTTTCGTGAATTTATTGGTCCGTTCGGGATCTTCGTTACGTTTTGGTTTGCATTCCCTCAAGTCGATTGGTCATCTCAACGCCTTCTATTCATAGTAGTTTCCTCCTCACTTCGACTGGTTCTCTTCTCGGTTGGCATTGCGTTGTGGTCTGATTTCTTCGAGAGTGATTGGCTGGTTGCACCGCCTTATTTCTACCATCGTATCGATAGCGTCCACCGGTTAATTTTGTACTTTGATTTACTGACTTGGTGTCTTCGCTGGATGTTACTGACAATATAATCATCTTAGACGTGACGGTAAACGCCATATCCGGGGCTGAAAGTCTATGAAGCGGTAAGATGGCCTAAACCTCAAAAATGTCGCCACTTGTGAGACACGGATGATTCAATGACCCAATGATCCTATTGGTCTTATTCAATGATCCTATTCCTATCGATTTTCGCATTTATACTTTAGACAGGTTGAAATTACGCAATCGAGAATTGCGGTCCCCACTGTGATGGTTTTTTAGTCTAAAGTAGCCGAGACGATCACCCAGCTTGTGTTTATGCACCTGCATCACACAGACAAGGCTCCTTAGAGATGCAAAAGTACGTATTTTGAAACTTCAACAAGTAACTGTGCATTCAATAAGACTAGCCAAGGAAGAGCTATTAAGCGTTACCCCTTTAATGACATTTCTCCAAACCTGAGTAAAGTTGTCGTGACTTGTTCTTCCTCCAGATTGTATTCGTGCGATACTCATAAAGCGTCAGTAGTACTGCGAGCTCTGTCCATGTATTCCAGGACAGCCACCTACGGAATTCATCCTGTCCACCTCCAGGGTAAATTCAGTTTTTTCTGTTGATCATTGGTGAGTCGTATTACTCAGAGTACGTCATTGTGGGTCGGAAAAACTTCTAGTTTGGAGTTAATATTTACGATATATATTGAAACGCTTAAACGCTTCATATTCAGTTGAGTACGACCATCCTGAAGTACGTTTGTAGATAATTATCACACGCAGAGACGGATATATTGGAATTTCCTAATTCAAGTGAACATACAGGTAATCATTTTCGAAACTTGCCATCCTCTCTTGGAGAGATTGTTCGAAAATCAAGT